TTAAGTACTAAATGTTTATTCACAGATATTGCGTGGCTACTTAGAGAAAATGTTCGTGATCAAGCCGTAAGAATAATATTACTCTCTCCAGCATATTTTCTCAAAGGTCTATTGATTTATGTAAATTTACTTAAGTAGTTTTACAAATCCTGATCGTTTGTCTTTTTTCTTATCATTAATGAATGGTTTCCCCTGACTGTTCTGCAAACTGACTGTAATGTACTGCTTGTCGCTTTATCACTAACATTCTTTGCTCTAGTTAGTGGCACGGTATAAATAGGTAAACCGTTAGCACTTAAAAGTACGTTTGTTATTGTTCTTGTAACATGTTGTTGCTGAAGTTACGGTTATTGGATAAATCAGCTTTACATCGATATCTTTTTGACCAAAAAGTTTTCCTTTTAAATTTGTCAAGTCTAATATTTAATTAGATTACCTGTTAGACGCTTAGTAATTATTTAAATTATTATTCAGACTAATGCGTCTTTTCCTGTATATACGGAACCTGTTTATTTTGTAAAAGTTATCAATCTTTTTACACTTATACTTAACATTTATTTATTACCAGTACAATGTCACCTAAAAATAGTGTTTTTACGTATTGAAAATTTCGAATAATTAACACTTAATAAATGTTGATAAAAGTTGATAAACTTTAAATCCCTTCATTAAGTATATACATAAGAAATAATAAAATATATAAGAAAATATAAACTATCTATATTTTATATAAATATCTATTTATTAAAGAGATTTATTAAATAAATGTATTTCGTAAGTAAATACTTCCAAACAATTCTCATACTAAATTATATATCCCAATTTTGAAATACAATACAAACACGTTCAAAACTTTCATCAAACACGTTCGAAATTACCCAGCATTCCGAAAAATTGAAAATTAGTTATTGAAACACGTAAACGCGGTACAGTATTCTACAGGTAATCCGGAGACGAACTTTATCAGCGGGCAAACAAGCTCGTGTTTGCTGAAATCCCGAATTTCTTCTCTAATTTCATTGAAACTTAAACTAGGGTATTAGAAACTGTTTCTCTTGATTACAAATTGCCAGTAAACGTTACTTGTACTATAAATTTAATTATCGTATATATGTATGTATGTATGTATGTATGTATGTATACGTCCGCGTCGGCATAGATATGTATACACATATACACGAGCAGCGGAGCTAGAACAGCGTGTAGACTCGAAGCGTTCGTTCGGCTAACGAACCGAGGCGTTTTCTGAATGCCAAAAAGCTCGGGTATCGTCGTCGGCGGTCTGGCCTCCTCTTCCCTTCTTAATCTTTGCTAACGGAAGTTCTTTACGTTTCCTTCGTGATCCAATAAATAAAGGGAAAGAGCGAATCTCGTTTACCGGACACGTTTGAAACGCTTTTCCACGAGCAGACCCGTGTCCCAGCCCTGTGTTTGAGTCCTCGTTCAGACAAAGACAAGACTTGACTCATCATTTCATTTGGAAAGGAATGCCGGAGCCAGCGGTGGAGCCTGTGGAAATTAACCTTTCGTTGGTGAACACCGTGTCCCTTGCGAGAATGGCTTGTAATCACAACGATTCTGACAGTTTCTGGTTGTTCTAATCAGTCGTTAATTGGAAACTCGTTTCAACCTGAATAAATTACCGTGGTTCTT